TAAACCTGCAGTTCTCAGCTCACGTCCTAAATGTGCATGAAGGAATTAAAGTGCGCGAGTGAATAACAGCATTAGTTTCAATTAATTTTTATCCTGGCAACAATAAACTTTAGAAACAAAGCGCTTTTACATCTTTAATTAGTCTTGCTTCCCATCTGTAGTCTTTTAAGTGCCTGCTCCTTGATTTAACTTTGTCCCTCCTTCCGAGCCGCCTTCTTTTTCATTCGTCTCCCTTTTTTCTCTTTGCCCCTTCCAGCCTGCTGCTGGTTTCTACCCTGCAACCTTTCACCTCCCTTGTCCCTATATGTCTGCTCTGCACGGTTTATTCCTACTGTATTTTCCCAACATCCAACAGCAGTATTGGTTACCATGGCCCCGAGCTATGTGCAGAGGTGGGAAAGCTTCATCCGCCCAAAAGTTCTTAGACTTTTGAAGTCTTTCTTTTAGTAGGATCTGAAATGTATCATCTAGAGTGTGTATTAAATGAACAGTATTCCTGAAGGCTTTAGAGCAAGAAAGGCAACACCCTGGAAAATTCTGCAGTCTTTCAGCATTCTCTGCCCTAGGGTTATAGCCCTGGGCACGGAGCTGAATGGAGCTCTTACAACTGCCTTCTGTTTACCTTTTATGGTTAAAATAACAGCTTAGCAAAGAAGCAACTTCATGGAGAAACGATTCAGTGAAATCATCTCAAGCTGTAGCAGCATAGCTAGTTTAATCACCCCTAGAGAGCTGAACAACTGTGAGCACAATGGGACACAAAATCATTTTGTGTGTAAATGAGCATGGCATTGTGATTATTTCACTTTGCATGGGCAAATAGTTTTTACAAGCAGTACTTATGCACTTAGCTTAGAAAGGCAGAAAAAGATAAGCTGGCTCTGAAAGATCTTGGTGTGTAATGTTGGAAAAACTAAATATTCACATAATTTGGGAATCAGGCTCTATTGATTTTGCCTTCAGCAGGTTTCTGTGTTACTTATTAGAGCAGGGTTATTGCCTGTGCCACTAGTTGGGATGCTATATCCTGTTGTAGGCGACTAAAGAGCAAGGATTATTTTACATGGTTTAATAAATGAAGTTTGTTAGTGTTTCTGCAATATTTACCCTTAAGGTTTTAATTTTCACATCAGTATTAGAAAATATGTGCATAAAGACTTTTGCTGGATAAATACATTTAGGATTTTGCTTTGTGCATAAAGTAAGTACATTACTCTGTGTGATGAATTTTAGCTGCATTTCACGTTCAGAAGAGGAAGGAGTCATTAGAAATAGGGTTACGATACCTTAAGAAATAGTGAGTATTTATTTTTTTTGGAGCAATAAGAGTGTTTTCAGTGCCCTTCATGTGGTGCTTAGCAATTATGCCCCCTGATAATTTGCTCATACAAAAATGATTGAATTCCACAACTTTAATAAAAACTTAGGATTCATTTTTTTTAAAATGAATCCTCTCCAACCAGGGGAAAAGCCTGTGCTTTAATTCCCCTTCTCCTCTCTTCCCCCAGAAAGCCAGTGGCACCCTCAGTAAGTACGAAAAGCCATAAAAGTTTGAGAACTATTTTAGTTTTCCAGTGATTTTCTATAATTAAGTGGTTTTTCAACACATGCTCTAGCTGAGAGATGCCAAAAGCAGAGGATTGTTCAAAAGGTCCCTCCAGTGAATAGTATAAATTAAATATCTACTGTGTGAGTATGGCCTCACTGAGAATCTCAGACTCTCTACAGATCAAGGAGTTTACTGGTATACTAACATTAAACACAATCCTAAGATAGCAGCAGTGTTTAAATATGCACAAATAGATTCAGATCACTTGATCTTTAGCTATCTGTGCATATTTTAAAATTGAAGTCTGGATTTCAAGACAAATGGTTAAATGTAAGACACGTTTACAGAGGACTGGAAGTTCTTTGATTTCATTTGGAAATTGTAACAAGGGGTGCAGATAAGCCCTAATTAGGCAGTTGTTTTGTGAAAGGGCGTGAGATATATTTCTAAGGCAGCTCTGTACCATGCAAGATCTGCACCTTTATCATTAGCGATAATGGTTGGGGTCTGAACAAAGACAGGGTTGACATTCAGCCTGGGTCTTCTGACCCTTTCATTTAAGTGAAGGAGTAGAGAGTGAACATGAGTTTGCAGGGCTCTTTGGTAAGGAAAAAAAAAAAAACCCAACCAAAAACCTTTGTCTGTGTTGGCAGACAGATGAGGCATCCACAGATTAGTCAGCACGTCGCTAAAATACTATAGGTACTTACATACTAAGTTGTTTTTAAAAGTTAGTACTGTTATTTATGCTATATGACATATTGAAGATTGCCCACAACAGGCTCTTGTGGGAAACAAGAAAGCAACATCTTCAGTCATGAAAGGATTCAATCACTTTCCTTGAAGGTGGTGCTGTAGTAAAAATGTTAATGCCCAATTTCACATCGGCTGACACAGAAGTCCTAAGACAGAGTTGGTATTTGCTTCGTGTTCAGTGCAGATGTCCGTCCAGCCTCTGAAGAGGAAAGGATGTGGATTCATAATGGGGTGATGTATTTCTGTGCTGTAGATGCAGGAAATTCTTAGGAGCTAACCAAGATGAAGTACAGTAAATGGAGATGTTGCAGTGACTTTGTGAAGCTGTCCAGATGTATTAACATTTTTCAATCCCTTTCTATACAGCTCTAATTTTTATTTCTCTCTCTTTTTTTTTTTTTTTTAAACAAAGAATGTTGGTAATTGTATGTTCATTGAGCGGCGTAGGCAGGCATCTTGTGCAAAATACTGCTAAGAGAAAGGCGAGACCAGCTTTAGATTTCTAAGAAAGATTGTCAAAGTAATGGGGGAGAAATGCGAATTCACTTTGCCATGCTGCATGTAAAGTGTTTGTCAGATGTAAGGAAGAGCCTGGGTGCTTGGTAGCATGCTTGCAGAACAAAATACCAAGAAAATTTGATTATATTCAGAAATGTCTTTAACTGTAATGTTTTGCATATGTTGCTTTACCCATAAGGGGGAGAATGGATGGGCATTTTCTTAAACTTTTATAAAAGGTTTTCTTTCCGTTTGACATGTATGCCGTCTGTACTGATTTAACTGAAATCAGCTTTGAGATACACGTTTCATGCAGAATAAGATGTGCTTTTCTTCCAGAAGAAAATTGAGGAATTTTCTTTTGGTATGGTTGTCCTGTTCATTTTTAAGACATTTCAGTTTTTTGGGGGTTTTTGTCTTTGTATGTCAGCTGAAGATTTTTGGACTCAATTCAGAAATTTCACTAATTTTCAAGTATTTTCAGGGCAGTAAACATTAGGTGGATTGTTGAATTTGTAATTTCACACGCGAGATTGTACAGTGCTTTCTCACACGTCTTGCCATGGAAGCATGTATCAGTTTATTTACCTTCCTGTTTTCACTGCTTCCAGGTATTAATTGCTTTCGGTTTGAAAGCTTATTACTTATTTATGTCTGATATTAAGGCTTAACTGAAAATCATCCATTTATTTCACAATTATTGAAAATAAACCAGAAAATTGATCTTAGTTTGATGTGAAATTTACTACATGTATAAACTAAATGCCTTAGGTACTGAGGAAGTCACTAATTTAGAGGTGTCTTGTTACTGAGACAAACTTGCAAAAACCCCTGAATCCTGATTCACAAATTGGTTATTCCTATGTCAGGGGATATTTCACATCTAACACATAAGCCCGCGACCTTTAATTAGAATTTTGCAGTTTGTTTTATGCCCCTTGAGGCTGACACCTTGAAAATTTTTTTTCTTGATTTCTTATTGCTAATAAGCATCTTTCTCTTCCCCTCTGGTACTTTGAAGAAAATGATGCAAATACACTTAATTACAGTGGTGGCAATAATTTGTTAACTGAATATGTGATCAGGCAGATGCAAAAATGATCTGATTAGATCTGTGATCACACTGGAAAGAAAGGTAACACACTGGTAGATTTAAGAGAAACTGTTCTTTTTTGCCTTCCTTTTGCAGGAGGGAAGAAGCATGTCCCGTTTGTCTCTAACACGGTCCCCGGTTTCTCCTCTGGCTGCTCAAGGAATTCCTCTCCCAGCGCAACTCACCAAGTCGAACGCTCCTGTGCACATCGATGTAGGAGGACACATGTACACCAGCAGCCTGGCTACCTTGACAAAGTACCCAGATTCCAGGTAAGACCTTGCTATTTTCAGGCTCGTTGCCCATTTCTGTTCTTTGCATGGAGAGAGGCATGTACCTGTGAGGAATATTTCAATGCAAAATACGATTTATTATATATTCACCACTTATGAATAATTCAGTTTCTGATTTATACAGTAACTTCAGTGGGGTTCTACAGAAAAAAAAAAAAAAAAAGCCTGTAAAATTTATGTATTATTTAGAGAGTCTATTCATTTTCTCTCTTAACATCTTCTGTACTCTGCCAATGTGTTTGAAACACCTGTTGTCATGCTACTCTAGATTATTTCCAACTGAACCAAGAAACGTCTTTCTTTCAGATTTAGGGGGAGAAAGAAAATCCTCTTTTCCTTCTTTAAGAAAACTGCATGGCTTTGTTATACTGGGACTCATGGATGTTTCTTTTGGCCAGCCAAAATCCTAACCCCAGTGGCAGCTGTTTGCGTCAGTGTCAGTGGTCATTTCCTTTGGGTAGTGGCCACCTTGCTGACCTGCTCTGTCTGCTCTAAGCTGCAGAATGGATCGAATCTTTGTATACTTAAAGGTAGCTGATTTGTACGGGACAGGTTGGTGACATATCTGGCAAGATTTATTTAGATCTGGCCAGCATTATCTCAGATTAGACTCCATATATGCCCAATTATGAATAGATGTGGCATGAGAGTACATTTGTGTGTGCTCCCAGACCTGCGGGGTGCGCAAAGGATGGGGCATCCTGGACAGCATCAGCTCTGTGCCGATAGTGTGGAAGGAACTGCTCTGTTAAGGGCTAAAGCACATTCATTGGAGCAGTATATTAAGACCTACCTGATTTTGATTTACAGTTACGATCACTAAACCAGTTCAGCTCTTCATCATTCAGACTGCTTATTTTTCAGAAAGGGAAGTGCCTCGTACGTAGCCAAGAGAAGGTGTGGATGTGCGGTGTCAGGGTGCCCAGCAGACTGGTTAAAGGAGACACTCTTGACTCCAAACTGAACCAGAGCCCAGGTCAGCAGGTTTTGTTGCCAGAGGTTTTGCTGCCTGCATGGCCAGTGTTTTGTAAGGAACAGGTTTGCATTGGTTTTTGGGATTGGGTTGGTTTTTTTTTGTATGACAGCCAGTGTAAAGCTCTAGTTTCATTTGAAGATTTTTCCTTCAAAAGAACGAGATATTTTTGCACAGATTTGGCAGGTTCCCAAGCAATAAATGACATTTATTGGACACACCTTGAAATGCCTCTAATGTCATAAAGCATATGGCTGTGATTTCATTCCAAGGAACGGGAGTTGCTGAAATTCTCTATGAAAAAGAAGCAATTACTGAAATACCTATAGTTTATTGTCAGGCCAAACAATAGGATTTTTCTGGACAATGCATGTTTAATGATGTCTGTGTAGTACTACTTTAATCATAGAGAAGAAATCTGTTCAGTGGGGAGAGATTTATAGCAGAGCAGCAGACAAATGCTTCATAGTAAAAAATACAGGGAAGATTCAGTAGCTGTAATAGAGTAGCGCGTCTATTTCCACATTTTAAAATATCACTGCTGACACTATTTTTAAAATATGCCCTATATCAGACTTACTTAATGAAAACTTCAGTCATGGAAGCTTTTGGAGAATATACGTAAGTTCACAGATTTTATTTAAAGAGTATAGAGTACTGATCTAAAACCTCCCGTTTGATAGTAACAAAAGAGTGTTTCTCCAGATTTTGTATTATGTTTAAACTGAAAGTTCTGCTGCATACTGTCTTTCATTCGTGTTGCTGTGTTATCTCATAAGGGTTGAATGCTTTTTCAGCTGCTCAGACTTCAGTTTTTGCTGGAGTAAAAGCTTACAGGATAAAATCTTTAGATGACATTTTTATAGCAAAAAATGACTGTTCACCAGCATCCCAAGTAGGAATATTGCTAGATCTATTATGAAGTTATTATGAAGGGTGCACCTTAATCTATCCTTCCCTCCTCCCAGTTTATTTATTTGAAATCTGTTTCTCTGCAGTGCTGTGTAGTAGACTTGGTTGGTTACCCCCTACTAAGTGTGGCCTGCGCTCATTCCTGGTTAAGGCAAAGTACTTGCCGTTATTTCAGTGGGGATGGCTGGAGCTGCTGGTGGTGCTTTACTGCTCTGGTGCGTATCTTCCATAAGGCACAGACTTGTCTTTGCAGTGATCTTGCTGGGAGAGGAATTCCAGGTCTTTACAGGTGCAGGAGGAAGGAGATAGCTTTTCTGAGCAAGACATCTGGAAATAATGCCCAAGCACTGTTAGCTTGTGGTCGGTGATAACAAGCATGACCATACTCATCCGCACGCATAGCTTTCTGGATTACTTTGGATAGCATGTTAAACTCTTGGTTTAAGTGTGAGTTTAAAACTCCAAATCTAAGATATTACATTCGTACATTGTATTTCAGCAAAAGATGTAAGCTAGTATGCTGAAATGCTTTGCTAAATTTTAGCCCCAGTCATATAAAATAGTTTGTACTCACTTGAAAGCTGTGGAAATATGCTTCCTGTTTATTTCTGTTACAATGTCTTATTTCTTTATCAGTGCTCCAAAATCCTGAGCAGACTTTTAGCTTGTAGTATACACTGTACATGAATGTTTAAGGACACATACACATTGTGAATATGTGTATAAATACAGTCAGGGTGTGCATACACAGAGACAGCACATACTAATGGAAGACAGAAGAGAATAAACCATCAAATCATGTTTATACTCCATAGTATTTTGAGGAGGTCCAGTCCTTTGAGGTCCTGAACAAACTGAGTTCACTTTGACTTTGGAGGGAGGGAAGAGCTCCCAGCACCTTGCCAGATCAGATCCAGCCGGAGCAAATATACGTATGACCAGTTCCTGCCTATACCTGCTCTCCAGTCACCCCTCTGGTATGATATAAATTACACCTGACAGCAGGCAGCGTGGTACATTTCTTATTGTAATTTGTTAGGATTGACTGTGCTTAGCCCACTCGGCTGGCTCTGCCTGGCTGTTCCCAAGTTAGGTGATTGGCTCTAATTTGGAGAGAGAAAGGACCTGATTCTGGAAGTCTTACTCACGTGAATGAATGGCTAGTGATGGGAAGTTGGAGGCCAGTTCTTGCATTTCAGTAATCCCAGAGTTGTTTCAGAGCAATTTTGACAGTCTTTGATGTAGTTTGTTTTAGTGCAGCTGCTGAGAGAAAAGTGTTTGTCCATTGATTAAATTTGTGTAAGTAAAGGGTGCAGATTAGGCGTTAACAGGGGCAGATGCCCTCTTTCCAGTAAATTTTTAAGGCTACATAAGTTCTCTCATCTAAGAAGGAGGAAACTTGGGCAGTGCACAGCTGATGTGACTAAGAAGAGGGTTAGACAGCCACTGCCAAAGATGGTTTCTAAACCACTCATGCTCACCTTATGTGCTACTCTTGCACACCTCATCAGATGGCTTTTTGAATGAAACACCATACAAGAAAGAGGGTGAAAGGCAAAGAAAATGAAAAACATAGAAGAAATTATGATCAACAACAGCATTATGATGGTGGTCACAGAAATTACTTCAGAAACAATATTATTAATCTCTCATTAGCTACTTTAAGCTGCTTTTTGTGCATACCCAAAATTGCCATTGAAGTTAACAAGCGTTGAAGACTCATGAAGGCTGATGTTGCCTTACCTGAATCTGAGGCTCAGTTCCAATAGTTTATTGACATAGCAAGTTTTCCCATCAAAAGTCCTGATTCTGGTAGCTGTGAGTTACAGGTGCAAAAAAAAACCACTGTTGAATTTCGTCTTGTGACTCTTATCAGCAGCATCTTATTTCTGAAGTAACTGAATAAGTAGACAAATTTTTCATCTTTGAGAGCATTTCCTCTAGAAATTCCATTCATGTTTTCACCCAGAGGACCTGTACAGTATCCCCTTCACACATTGACACTTGAATATGGATTTATATGACAGATTGTAAAGGCTGCAAAAGCTCGAGCATGTCTATAAAGCAAGTTTCAAAGTGTATTTATCCCAGGGAGTGAGACAATTCTTACATTTAAAAAACAAACCCACACCAAAAGCCAAGCTCCTAATGTGCAGTCAGGAATACCCAAAGACATTGCCACATCCTCCAGTCTCACTCCCACTGAACTCAGTGGCAAACTTGCGGTTTACCACAGCAAGCCCCAGCTTCTCAATTTCACTGGAAATTTTGATACCACTTTGAATTTCTGTTAGAAAGTAGAAGAAGATTTTTCATCAGAAGCCTGTCCTTTTTGCAGCCTTTAATAGCATTTTTAACTCAGAGAATTGCTGTGAGCTCTTTGTCAGTTCTTCTGGTATAAAAGGTAAATGTATTTACCTTACATTCTTGGTTAATTAGTATTTTTGCATAACCCTCTACTAAAGAAAGATAAGTATGTTCTTTTGTTCAAAATGTATTTATAAAAACTCCTGCTTTTTACGGCATTACTTCTGACAAAAGCAAGCAGAAATAAGACATAGTAGAATTTTCCAGGCATACCCTTGCCTCTGAACCTGTGGACTTTTTGGTCATTCACAAAGGAGTCCCCTAAAGCACGTCTTCTCCTCTGAGTGTTTCTTGTCGAACTGTCATTCTTGTGTAGACCCACGCTCAGATAAGCTTTCCTGCCAAGCATGATGTTGTGATTCCAGCTGCTCTGTAGGAATCTGTGGGTTTTAACTCCACTGCTTTTTCCTTGAGTTTCTCCATCTTTCTGGTTGCTGGAGCTCAGCACTGACACCTGAGACCTTCTGCTTCTCTCCATTATTCTGCAGCCACACTGGGCTGCACTGAGGAGAATGCTCTTTTGCAAGTTTTAGGGCTCCTCTGTCGTGCTTGACAGAACATAATTTCTGACCCTGTATAGCCATGTACAGTGGTACAGCTCAAACACATTTGCTACAAAGATCTACAGGACAGATTTCACACATCATCGTTTACACTAAGGGCTCCGTACCAGCTCCTGCTCTGCACTTGTTGGGAGGGAGCAGGGAAATTCTTAATTTGGATATAT